TCTCCCGTCGAGCTCTAGTACTAATCCGCATGCGGCGCGCACAAGGAGCCTCATCTCGTGGGTCCTCACGACCGATGCTGGGTGATACAACTTATACATGTCGCATGATTTTCTCGACTGGAATCAACTCTCGTAAAGGATTGTAGAACGTTATGGAACTTCAATATGACTTATATCCAGACACATGTGATATTGTAACATTTGAATGAAACAAAAAAATAGATCCTCCACAAGAACTCGAATGAAACTTACACTGACACAATGTTGTTTGTGTTGAACATTGTTTTCGTTAATTTAGTTTACTTTCATTGCAGAAAATCATATTATTTGTAGGAAACCAATTTGAACGTTTTTAAGAAGGTTGTTTGCCATTCCGAAAACACTGAAAGGCAACGTGTTCTTCAGAGAGGTGCGTAATTAACTTTAACACCAACATAAGCGACAACATAGTTTACGTTTAGATATGCGCACCCGATTTTCTGATATTTGGAGGTGCCGTACCGTATCTTAAAGCTGGGATGAAGGATGGCAAATTTACCCGAGTTCATTGTCAGTGCACTGGCAGGTGAACTTGACTGCCAACATCAGTTGAGCCAGAAAATTTAGAGTTTTTTTAAAAATGCTTTTAATCTTTACACCATTCTGTACGCGAGGCTGCATCTTCATCATTTGCGCTTCAAAATTCACAAAGCAGGTGCTGTTTATATGTAGAATAATCATCCTGATTGTTTTGTGACATTTTGTTTAGCTTTTTGCTGTCCTTAGTTAGAGGACGAGCAGGTCATTGAAAAACGGTCAATTCACTGCTGGAGAAAAGGTAAAAAAGGAGCGCAGAAGCAAAACCATGCATTGGTGAAGCGTTGTAAGTTCACCACTTCTGATCTGACTTAGAAATCTAACATAAAACGGCTCTAACTTTTGTGGAGAATTGCATTATTGTCGCCTGCACTAAGGTCATATTGTTCCCAAAATTAAATGTTAGAATTTGCTTTTTTCGCTTGTATAGTGCGGTTCATAATTACACGAATACTCCAAATTTCAGAAATTTCTAGACTATTCGGAAGAAACTCAGAAAACCGTTGATACCACGCGAAAGAGCACAGTCGAAAACCGTATATGATGCACAAGAATGAAAATCGATGTCAATCTAAGGAGTGTTTCTACGCCTAATCGAATTTTGAGCGGTTCACAATTATACGAACACCTCAAACAAAGGTCCATTTTTTACTCGCGAGTGCAATCCTACGCGTCCAAATTTTTTTAGGGTTACAGTAACAAAGTCTGAAACATCTGCTACGCAACCCAGTGCCTGAACCCAGTGCAGTTCAAAAAGAAGAGCGTTACCTATTCCAGATGACTCTAAATGCTTTTGACGTCATTGCACTTCAAAAACGTCCGTCTTTTTTTGTGGTTTACGCATATGAGATAACATAAGCTCTTTTGTTAGATATTTTGTTTGGCACTCGGAAGATCATTGCATTTTCGTCCCGATTTTCAACAAAGTTCCAACCTTACCTTGAAGTTGGCACAATTTCGAGCCTTAAAACTCAGCCTCTGAAGCCCTACAATGAAGTAAGCGCATAGTATGTAAAAGTTCACAAGGCAATGTATTTGGCTAGACTAAACCAGCAACGTGGAGCATTTGTTTTGGCTGCGCAGGCGTCATTTCACCAAAACCACTGTTTTTACTATTGCAATCCCTCTTTTATTTGGTTTTTAGCTCCGTAGCCTCACGACTAATTGTGCAAATCACAAAATCTTTAGCACGGATACATCATCATGCAAACAGCGAAGCTGCTTCATATCAAATGTTTGCGCAAGATAGAAGCTGAGTTTTGAGGCTCGAAGTTGTGCCAACTTTAGGGTAAGCTTGGAATCTGGTTGAAAAACGGCACGAAATGCAAAGATTTTCCGAGTGTCAAACAAAATATCTATCAAAAGAGTTTATTTTATCTCTTAGATTTGTAAAAGGTAATTAGAGAGCGTTTACCACAAAAAAGAAACAAACAAAATATCTATCAAAAGAGTTTATTTTATCTCTCTCTTATCTATCTCTTAGATTTGTAAAAGGTAATTAGAGAGCGTTTACCACAAAAAAGCGGACGCTTTTGGAGCGCAATGACTCCAAAAGCAAAGCCATTGGAATAAGTAACGCTCTTCTTTTTGAACTGTGGGTTCAGTGTATAGCAGATGTTTCAGACTTTGTTACTGTAACTCTCTAGGAAAAATTTGAATTTGAAAGATTGCACTCGCGAATGGAAAATAGACCTTTGTTTGAGCTATTCGTTTATGAACCGCTCAAAATTCTCATTAGGCGCAAAAACACTTCTGAAATTGACATCGATTTCCTTTTTGTGGATCGTATACTGTTTTCGGCTGTGCCGTTTCGCGTGGTATCAATGGCTTTTTGTGTTTCTTCCAAATACCCCAGAAATTTCTGAAATTTGGGGTGCTCGTATAACTATGAACCGCACTGTACACGTCACTTGCAGAGATGATCGGGTTCACTGCTTGGTTTTAGGCGCGAAAAACGGGCACAAATGCATGGAAGGAAAACTTCGGCAATTGTCCGTAGAAAACGCCTTTTGTCTGTTCATCACGGTATACTCATCACATGTTTAATTCCTATTCCATATAGTGACTGGTGAGAATTTTCGCAAACCATCATTTTTCAGTTGTACTCAATTATTTGGAGAGTTATTTGGAGAGTTTTCAGTTTTTAACATGCTTGAAGCATTATTTTCTATCATTGTTAGATAGATTCTTGTTTACTTCAACCGCACTAAAAGGTTCCGAGTCATAGTGGAGAAGTAGTGGGAAGGGAACTTAGCTGCTTCTGGGAAGCTCTGGGAAGCTACAATCTTCTGGGAGTTTCCCAGAAAATCGAAAGAAGAAATGTCAAAGAACTAACCACGGAGTTTTTCAGGTAACCCCCGGGGCCTTTCGCAACGTTCTGCCCCTTGACGAATTGATCTGAAATTTGGTACAGCTGTGTGTTCAACAGGCTGCCATCAATAACCCGAACGGATCCCGCTTTCGTCTTATTATTGAAAAAAAAATAAAATTTCTGGGAAAAGCAGGCTTGAGTTGGCGAAAACTACAGATCCACCTAAAGTTTTTGTCCACCAAAGTAATGCTCGACTTTCAAAATCTTTTGTGCGTCTCCTTGATTTGCACTTTCCATTGGTACCATATGTGCACACAAAAACTGATTTGTGACAATTCTACAAACCACTACAACCAAACTTATCTTCTGGCCAACCTATTACAACAGAGACTTCATCCAATTCGGAAACTAGAACTTCCTGGCGTTTGCTGAGTTTGAAGATTCAAGCTTAACACAGTCATTAGGGATAGGATTAAAAGCTGCATATAGACCTAACGCATCCAAAAATCTTTATCAATTTGACGCGCTTTATCACAGCCTTTTCAAAGATTAAGAAATATTCTTGAAATTTCACAGCAAGCAAAGTGTATGAAAAATTATAGGATATGAAAATTGTACCTAATATGAGAGTTTCTGTTTACTGGAGAGTTGCGGGATAAACACAAAAATCAACTCATACCTATCTAAGGGAGGCACTGAAGCGGTCGAGACGGAGACGGTACTTTCACCAATCCCTTAACTAACTATTAGTTTAAACTTTTGGGCAAGCTTTTGTAGATCGCATCTAACGGAGTTTTTTAGGCAACCTAATAGTTTAGAGAATTGTACCAACCACTTGAATATCTGAAAATATATTACGTTGCAACACATGATGTGCAACAAAATATTGTCATAAGAAATTATTTAGAACTACTTAGGTAACCGTTTCATTCTGTAGGATATATCTTTTGCTGTGCACATAGGGTGGTTTAAGTACTGAGTTGTTCTTAAAATCATGCCGCATCACATCTTACCGTGGCAAGGTAGAAACGAAAGAAGTGAATAGGGTTTCTTTGTAGAGCAAAGCTCTACAAGGTGGAATACAAACATCCGCGAAGACTTCGTCCCATTTGAAGGTTGAAGCCAAAATATAAAGATCTTGATACTCAAAACACCGTGTCTCCACCCATAAAATTTTTTGAGATCTCCAATCTGCACGAGCACGAGTGCTCTCGACATCAAAGATTCACTTGTACACTTTATGAAATTCTTTCATGGTTGGATTACGAGAAACAAGGATGGTGTCACTTCTTTCGGTTTTTGTGGCAATGAATTTGATATCTCTCGAAACTGGTCTTTGTAGAAAGCTGGAAAGTTCATGATTATACTTTCAAAAGTTCACTCTATGGAATCAAATATCTACGAAAAGCTTGAGATTGCTCTGGCAAAACTATGCCAAAACCCCTTCCACCTTTACTCGGGCTAACAATGTCGCAATACTATTTGATGATCGATAATGCTGTAATCATCCGAACAACCTAATATATGTTCGAAATTCTGTTCGGAACGATATTGAAGAGCGAGAAAAGTTTACAGCTTCAAATTTTTTTAGAATCATCTAATCATTATGAAATTGGTATGATTAACTTGATCATGAGACTCAAATCGAAGATAAAGTCAAACGTTCACATTTCAGCAACTAACATTTCAAACTGCTCCCTCGCTTCAGCTCTTCCAGTACGCTTCTACCATGTCAAACAACTAGATAGAATGACAACAGTGAGATGTGGGAACAAAGCGATAACATTAGATGACTCATATTGAAGGGATCATGAATCTTCAAATTCATGACAAATCTTGATGCAAGACTTATGTCTCACCTAATAATTCATTAAGCGGCGTAGGAGAGGGGAAATGAAAGGTGCACGGTTAGGATAAAAAACGGACAGGCGCGAAATGAGTGCTCTATAGAACCTGCTAAGTTCAAACAGTGTACTACACTTCTGCAGCGATCGCGGCACGAGACATTATCGCAATGATCAAGCATCAGTTCGTGGTCGATTGCTGATCGGCTGTTAGCGAAGCGAAGTAGCATGTGATTTTGTCATCGACCGTCGGCACAACGCTTATGTATGCGTGACCATCAGCGCTCGTCTCTGAAACGGACACCACGAACAGAATTGTCTTGCCTTTATAGTCCTTCTATACTCGTAAGGCACCAGCAGAGGAGCATCTGGGTGAGTTCGGAATTTTTACAGCTGCTTTGTTCCTCATCATGGAGTTTGGCGTACTAAAAACAGTTGCCTCGTGTTATCACCTCACCCACTCGCTTCCACGTGGAAGCGCCCGGTATTAATTGATACGAAGCCGATTCGGACTAATTTCATTTCGCTCCGCAATTGTACAGTCCAAGCTTCGCTGACTATTGCCCAAATTGCAAGCTTATCAGTTTTCCTTTTCATCCAATGCGGGGTTCATTACATTGCAGAATGTGAGATCAAGAAGCTATTGTAGCTGTACAAACTATCGCCCAAATCCATCCTTTGAGAATTGCCCAAATTTATTCCCGAATTGTTTCCTCAAATTTCGAATAAGTTGCATTATATCGTTTACCACCATATAAAACGAGGAACTTACAATTCTTTTTTAACTTAATGGTAGGTTCAACTTATGCTCATTAATCAATGGTAGGTTCATGTTATAAGGTTGCTTTATTACAAAAAGTACTAGTAATCGCTGATAAGCTCAAAATCTACAGATTCTTACTTTTTTAACTCGAACTTCCAGTTAGAAGCCGAAGATACTTTCACTGTGTTCAACAGAAGAAACCAAACAAAGGTAAATGATAAAACTATCAATTTTCATATCAAATCCCATGCAGCCCTTTTCCGTTATGTGCATACACTCCTTATGTTTTGCAGCGATTCAAAGGCGTCAAGGCGGCAACGCCGCCTTAGCAGCAGCCTACGTGTTGACGGCACGATCAAAATTTTAGAAAATACAATAAAGCTGTATCTTTTTCTTTTTATTCAGTTCTGTAGGTCCATAAAATTTTAGCTGATGTTTTCCACATTTTTGAATACACTTGCTAGTATTTCACTCATACTTGCGAGACCTTTTATTGCCAGAAGCCAAATTCGACATTTTATTATTGAATATGTATTCGTAAATTGTTACCTCAATGGAAAATCTAAACCGAATGCTATTCATACGTTTGGACCCTATGCTTTCTCTTGAACTAGTAATCCTATCTGTTTACTTTTTACGCCATGAGCTTTATCAATAGTCCTTCATTGCGAAATGCCTATTCGATATCAATATGCCTTTTTTCATAGAAATAACAGCGCTACAAATAGAGGAATATTTATAGCATCAGCCGGTGTTTCCGTCTGACGTCCCCCCCCCCCCCCCCACCTCTATTTGCTTTCATGAAATAGCCATGCATCATCGACAGATGATAATCACTCTCATCGATCAGCTGTTACGAAATCGCTTATCACGAAATTCACAGCATAGGGAAGATTTTGCTGCTCTTTTTTCTTTTCGCTTATGGCTAATCTTATGATAATTTATACAACTCTGCCGTCAAAGAAACTGAAAAAGGTGGGCAATTTATCAGTTCTCTTCTGTCAAGCTCGCGAGCTCCCTTCAGTTATATTTTTCATCACGAAATCGATTTTGTGTCATGGAAAATGGCAAAGTTCTTGAACACGACTTCCTTTATGAATAAGGCTACTATTCAATGAATCAAGGAATTTATAAGTGTACGGCAAGAGGTAGAGGGAAGCAAGAGTGACAGTGACTGAAACTGCCAAATATTTTTGTTTTTCTTTTGTTTAGACTGATCTATTATTTTCTCATTCCTTCTCATTAGGAGAAATAAAACGGGTATGTGGACAATAGAATGCTTTGATATACTACTTATACTTAGTACTACGTACTTCTGATCAACAGAAAAGCCTGGTGGAACTGCGAGTTTTTTCTTCTTGTTGACTCCGTTGATTCCAAAGTACATCAACCCGACTAGTTCTTCTTTAAATTTTTCTCTACGATTCTCTCTAAAAGCGAATAGTCGGCCGCGAAAACAACAAATATAATTACCCTATTTTCAGGTGTATAAGCCGCACCCTTTTTGCTCTAGACGCGAGCAGACCCAGGCGTGCCGCCGCGCCTACCTCTCGCGAAGCGGTCGCCTTATCGCATACTGCTCTCACTTAACGCGCTCCATGATGACAGTCAGTCTTTTGGCGTGTTCGCCTTTAGAGTGAAAAGGGTGCGGCTTATACACCTGAAAATAGGGTATCTAAAACTTCCTTATCAATCCTATGTTGCCATGATACTAGCATGGAATTGCAGAACAGGGAGTAGCAAAGTGCTTATAAAAAGACTTTTACGTGATAGGTAATTCTGGAGGAAAGAACAAAGGAGCAAATATAAATTCAAAGACTAGCATTTGGATAAATTTACTATGTCAAAATTATCGCAGTTGTTACGTTTTTTTGGAGAAGAATTACATGTTTGATTTGTTTGTCATATTTTTTTCAGTGCCATCTTTTTTTCTTACAAGAGTTTTTCTTACTATGAATCACGTTTCTCATCAGGGCATAGTGCAATGTAATTAATTTTCGTTTGACTCTTCATAGGGGCTCGTATCGTGTGACTCGAACTGGCCATTTCTCATTTGAACATCTCGCCACCAATCACCACATGGCACAGAATTTTCAAAAACTTTGTGGTGATGGTTTCTCTTATTCGCCATTTGAGTAGTTAAAGAATCAATTCGACCATAGCGTAAGATTGTTTCTGTGTCCTTTCCTCTCTCGAAAGAAATGTTGTAGTTTATTGAGTACCCACTTGAAGTTTCTGCACTGAGTCTGAAGCAAAAAACTGCCTGCAAAAAAAGGAAAAGTCAAGTGTGCCATTGGCATTTGATCTATTTGACTATAATGATTTGTATGCAATAAAGCGCATTTTTAATCTTTACGGTCATCCCGATCGAGTTCATGGGCCTACAATTCTACTGCAGTTGAAATTACAGTTTTTACGTCAGCCCGTCATTCACTTTAGCTCATTTAACTTCACCAAGCCAAGCAAAAAAAAGATAAAAAGAAAAAGAAAATGTGAGAAAGAAAACCAGATATGACACAAAAGTGATTATTCTCCAGGGACCTTCCGTCGAAGAAATCACATTATTTTTATGAGATGTCGAAAGCGGACTTCTGTTTTTTGAGGGCCTTTTGATATTTGGAAAGCTTCCAGCGATTTCCAAACATCTGCGTACAGATTTTATTGCAGCAAATGGGTTTTACCTATTTATCAGTTTGATACAGATACAAAATACTGGTGTGAATCAAGTTACGACGTTTAGCAATCTGGATGATTTTTTGCTTACCATTAGGATGATTAATAGTATAGCATTAAGTCTGCATTTTACATCCGGCTTTGGTTTATTTTTGAAGCTTAATTTGCCAAAATTTTGATGCAAAAATCAGGCTCTTTTTCTCACCTCACCATTTCTAATCAAAAGAAAAAGAATTTTTTACTCAATCACAGTTGACCATCCTCCTTGATTTAATGTTTCCAGTAATACCATATATCTAAACATAAATTAATCAGTGATATCGTTGAAAACGACCGAAATTGTACACATACAATGCTCTCTTCATTTCTTAGCGAAAGCGTTACAGAGAACATATTTGTTGAAACGAATAAAATTGTTTACTGCTGTGCCTTTCTTACACGCGTCAATAAATCTTGTTATCTCTTTAGTGCTTATGGTTCCAATATTGTCAGAAAGCCCTTGTCTTTTCTTGCCTTTTTCGCGTACGAAGATTCTAAATAAGACAGCTGTGACCCTTATTCTAAATGTACCGCGCATCACTTCTTTCCGTCTTCTCCTCCACTTCTTTTGAAACTATACGATATAACCAAAAATCACGTCACCTTACTGAAACCGTAAATCAACACTGAATGAGACGATTCTTCTTTGTGCGCCACGAAAAAAGTGATCTAGTCGATGTTTTGCTGTACACACGTCGAATGATGGATGACTGTACGTCATGCCTTGTGACATTCACGAACGATGCGTTACGCATCGTTAATGACACTCGTACACTCTTTCTTTGAGTTGACGGAAACCGCTGTAAAACCAATTAGCTCAGCGAAACCCCAGTAACTCAAACGGATTTAGTGATTTTACATAAGCGAATTTGATAGCCAAGTTTGCCCTCCCATTCTCTTCCCTCATGGCTTGAATTTGAGAGAAATTATGTGAATGCTTCATTATGTACTACGTTCTGGCTGATATGGGTCAAAATTTTGCGCGAATACCGTACATTACCTTTACCTTGCGGCCCAATGCGAACATAGGAATGGGCGCTATTCATTGAGAAATTTCGAGATAAGGACCAATTATAGTGATGTTAAGGAGAAAGATACTTTTGTGAAGATTCAAGCCTTGTATGTAAATGCCCCTCTGTTTACAACTCAGGATGAGACCATTTTGAAGACAATGAAGATTTTTCTCCAAGTTGCTTTCCTCATTTTTTAAGAAGCATTCGACTAAGGCGTAAGGGCAGTAAGTAAGGCGTATAGGCATAAAGGCTTCCATTTCCACCATGCGTTTATGTAAGCTTGCATGTTTCCATCATTTGCATTTCAGAAAGGGAATATGTTCCTTGATGTTACTTGGAATCGCGAATGAAAAGAGCGTCGACAATTCCAGGAGGCCTAAATTCCAGTGGAAAGTTAAACACTTTTGAGAAACATTCATTAGTCACTCCAAAGTTTCCAAATCGTGCTGGTGACTTCGATTTCTGGCGATCTGTGATTCAAGTAAATTTATATCCTACTTGGGCGCTGTACTAGTCTGCCTACAACAACGACATAATGCGAAAATTCCATTCTGTTGATCACGAGACAGAGTGAAAGTGCTCGAATAGGTGGCACAAAGACGAGGAAGAACGTACTTTCCGATAAACTGATGATGCAATGTCGCAGACATCGACTGAACGATGAGACGCGATTGTATTTCATTCTTCCGCGTTTCTATCCCCTATCATCCCTGTTATCGCTTCATCTATTATTTTTTTCTTGAAAGGTCTACCTTTTAGAGGCTAGACAAGGATCGATGTAGGCAGCTGGAAAGTGCTTCACTGATCGACCTTTTTTTTATCACCGCATAATGTCTTGAGTTTAGAAGATAAGAAATGACTTTTCCTCTTCCCGCTTTCAAAAT